CTCAAATGTGCTTTGTGTCCATGACTATGAAGGGAACTGAGCCCTCCCCCCTTTCTCACACACACACAAGAACAAAAATACTCTCCAGAGAAGAGACGAAAGGACCCCTTTTGAATATCATGTCACGGTTGCACAATTTCATCTTTGCTCAAAGTCTCTGTTCTCTCCTCATTCAAGGAGCTTGGTCTCACTCACTCACTCACGGCTAAGATGATGAAAGCTCATTCAGCTTCACTTAGTTTCATTTAAGAGGCAGGGGTAAGGAGGTAAACCCCCTTCCTGCTTGCTTGACGCTGTTGGATAACTTCCTTCCTTCCTTCCTTCCTTCCTTCCTTCCTTCCTTCCTTCCTTCCTTCCTTCCTTCCTTCCTTCCTTCCTTCCTTCCTTCCTTCCTTCCTTCCTCTCATCTCTTTCCTTCTTTCATGCTTATCCTATCCCTTTTTCCTCCTCTTTCCCAGCAATAGCACTTCTGCTGGTAGCCACACTGAAGAAAACAAACTAGCCAAGCCTGGCTGTGTTTTCCCTCTGCATGGAACTTTCTGCCCCATGCTTTTTCTCCAGAGTACACTTTGATTGTGCCAGGAGGGCTCCTCACAGTGGCTCAGGGCTGAGATGCTGGAAGGGGAGGCTGAGACTGCTGGAAGTGAAGCGGGGGGGGGGGGGAGGGGAAGGGGAAAGACGAAGAGCTGAATGGCAGAGGAGACCATCCAGAAAGCAGAGGAGAAGAACCCCCTACTTTGGCCTGAAATAGTCAAGGGGTACCTAGTTGACTGCCTCTGATAGAATTGGCAGCAAAATGCATCCACTCTTTGCAGCTGTCTCTGGATGCTCTTGGCTTCAGGAAAAATACGCTTTTAACAGCATCCCAGCTAAAGGCCAAGGATGATTTAAGGTTGCCCTGCTCAGAAGACGAGGACAAGATCAAGGCAATGTCACAGGGGTCTATCAGGAAAAAAAACCAAAACAATGTCTGTGTTGTGGTAATTTGCAAAAAGGGAAAGGCACTTAGCCATGTGCTCATGCTAAAAGCCTGACCCTCATCAGATCATACAGTATTGATAGGTCAACTGTACTGGCTTTCTAGCCTAAAAGCAAAGCTTTTTAATGAGTAAGAGAGTCCATCAGAGCTGAGGTAGAGATCAGATAGATGGGAAGAGAAATAAGAGAAATTGCTTAGTGATGGGCCTCTGCTTTACTATCATGCAATCCCAATCTAAAAAGATCCTGTCCATCACTCAAAAGTGTCCTTTCTTGGTAAATTTCAGCCTTGGCTTCCAACAATGAATCTGTGTCCCTGAAATAAAGATAGGAAGAGACAAGGGCCATTGCTAGACGCAAGGATCATCCAAATGCAACTTGGAACCTTGGCCTGGTAGCTGACCTTCACAGCGACCGCCAGTACGGAAAATCCAGCTGCAATAACGGTGCCTCACTATCCTCTGCATCAGGCATTGGGATGGTGTTTCTGGAATTGCAGGAGAGCAGGATGAGGCTGCCAAAATTGTGGCATGAAGAGAAGAAAAAGAAACTGCTGGGGATGGGACTAAAATCAGAGTTGCCAAGCCATTTTAGTGATGCTGAAAACGACTAATTAAGAAAGAGTCACCTTGACTGGTCTTCAGCAAGAAAAACAGCTGCAACTGACTTTCTACTCTCTCCCTGCACTGCAACCACCCTGCTGTGTCTTGGTCTCAGGAGTGAGTTTATTTGGAAAATGTAAAAATGCAAATGCCTATAAACAGGCTGTGTCCGAGATTAATCATTGTTTTCAAACTCAACACTCAAGTGCTCTCCATTGAATAAATAATAATAATACTAACACCCCAGGCTTAACAATTGTTGATAAGGAGGACCAAAAAGTTTGAATAGTGGATGCTGCAGTACCAGGAAACAGCAGAATAGAAGAGAAAGAACTGGAGAAAATCACAAAATGCAAAGAGCTGCAAATAAAAGTTGAATGATTGTGGTAAAAGAAAACAAAGCATCAATAATAATAGGTTCCTTGAGTGCAATCCCAAAACATCTAGAGAACCACTTGAATACCATTGGTATTGGGGGAAAAAAATCACCATTACTGAATTGCAAGAGGCAGCTTTATTTGGAACTGCTTACATCCTCCAGTGATATCTTTAATACCATCGAACAACATTCAGCAGTAGAGGAAGCCAGCATAGCTATTGAATTGTTTTCAGTTCCAAACCAAGTATCCTCTCCTCTGCCTCTTTCTCAGAAATAACAAAGCCCTCTAACTAAAAAAGATCAAGTGAAACAAAGAATCACTGAGCATCTAGGACAGCACAAAAACAACAAAATAAGGTTGCATGCATTGAAGCTTGTTCCAAAGAAACAGCAAGCACAAGTATTAAAAGTTGTCAATTTTGTAATATCAAATACAAACACCACTGTAAGAAACAAATAACTAATGTACAGCATGGCTGCAGTTACAACTGAATACTCTGGACGCAAAATCAAGACAAAAGAAAAAGATACCAAACAGTGCACCACCAAAATGGAAGATCAGCCTGGAAAATAAGATCAGCAAGCTAAGATTAGAAACAAGTAAACTAGACCAGATAAAAGGAAAGAGGCTGAAGAATAAGAAGAGCAAAAAATACTTGATCAAGAAATATAGCCTAGAAACAAGAAAGATTAAATAAGCAATGGAAATAATAATGCAGCAAATAACAGCTATAGACAAGAAAATAAGTACATACAGTATGAAATTCAACTGCATACTATCTTCAATTTCAAGTTTGAATCTGAAAAGTTCCTACCCATCCATCAATAGAGACAATACAATAAACCAGCCAACAGCTAACAAAGAAAAAAGAGCACTTTGGGCACAGTTATGGACAACCCAAAGAAATATCCAAAGAACATAGCTTAACTAAAGAAGGTGGATAAGAATAAAAAAGAAGTTGAAATGAAAGCACTTGTTATAATAGTAGAAATCATGGAGAAAAGGATAAGGAAGATCAAGAATTGGTCAGCATCGAATGAAGATGAGCTGCATGGTTTTTGGTTGAAACATTTGATTGGTCTACATCTACTCATTGCCAAGCATTTAACGCCATACTGCAAGGAGATGAAATTGAAGATTGGTGAACCTCTGGCAAAACTTACCTGATAATGGAAAGGAAAAAATAATGAAAACTGAAGGAATCAAGATGCTCTACAGAAATAATATCAAGAGCCTGGATGAAGAAGATCACTACAAATACTTGGGCACATCCTTCAAGCTGACAACATCAAGCACACTTGGGCTAGAAGTGAATATATTATGAGATTGAAGAAGATCATAAAGTCCAAACTCAGTGGAGGAAATATCATCAAGGCAATTAACACTTGGGCAATTCCAGTCATTAGAAATATAGGTGGAATAATGGAATGGGCTCAAGCAGTATTAGAAACCCTGGATAAGAAGACTAGAAAAATAATGACAATGAATCTAGCCCTTCGTCAACACAGCAACATTGACAGACTCTCTTTAACCAAGGAGTATTGTTGGGCATGGAATGTAACAACTATAGCAGACAGTTGAAAAAGAAAAAAAGGTCATTGGAAGAAGATCTGAAGGACAGTGAAGTAGATGCACTGAAGTTGGTCCTCCATAAAGACTTACTGAATATCAAAGAAGCCAAACTGACTTACAAGAAAGACTAAATGAAGAACAGAAAATAGACATGGCAAGGCAAAGTATTACATGATCAGTATACAAAAACAAACCTAACAGGCAAAGCAGATAACAAGTTGTGGCAAGAGACCGAAGAGCTAAATTCTGGCTGCACAAGACTAAAGTCTTAAGAACAAATGCATAAGAAGCCAGAACTGAGAAGACAGCAACAGAAAGCAAACGCCACCTCTGCAAAGAAGCTGAAGAAACTGTGGACCACCTATTCAGCTGCTGCAAGAAGATCACACAGACTGACTACAACAGCATGACAAAGTACAATAATGCTGCCTTGGAATATCTGCAAGAAATACCACTTGCTTGCAAACATGAAATGATGGGGACCACAAAAAAAAAAAAAGACAAAATAATGGAAAATGAAGAAACTAAAGCGCTTTGGGACTTCAGTATTTGAACAGACAGCTACTTGACACATAACGCCCAATTGTCAGTAAGAAAGACAAAAAAGACTGGCCAGTGGGCGTTGCAGTACCTGGAGACAGCAGAATACAAAGGAAATAACTGGAGAAATTCAGTAACAGGGATGAGGATGCATAATGTTATTTTCTATTTTATTCTGGATTTTTGTTGAGAGAGAACCGTGCTAAGACTACTTGAAGCTTCATCATAGTTTTCCTTAATTCCCAGCTAAAAGTAGCACAAAATCACAACTGAGCAGAAGTTGGAAGGGGTTTGGAGAGCTGAGAAACTAATGCTGTTCCTCAGTGCAGTGCAAAATGTTTAATACTTAATGTGGTGCACAATTTGGGTAGGATAGTGCAGTGAGATCATAATATGTGGTTTTGCTTCCAGATTCATCATCTGATAGAACAGATCATTTGGAATGTGACTAGATGGACACACACTGTATAAAAATCTGCTACACAAATGTCTACTAAAGATGAAGTCCCTGCCTCAAAATCATTTCCAATCAAACAGATGCAGCCATAGATTGGTATAACAGCTATAATTATCGTGATTATAGGCAATAATTTACATATTCTTTTGCAATATACTGAAGTGTGTGATGTATTTCAGATGCCTTTCACAAACTTCTCTGTATTCCAAACAAGAGCTATTAGGGTAAGAGTTTGACTGTTTTAGCTCTGGACAAATGTTGCGAAATTGATGTGTGTGTGTGTGTGTGTGTGTGTGTGTGTTTTCTGAGATTTTCGCAGGTGTTTGTATGTAGGTCTTTGGTTATTCGGGTTTTCTCCCGTGTCAAATTGGAAGTGTCTTGGCGACGTTTCGACGAAGTCTCATTCGTCATCTTCAGGCTGGTGTTTTCGGCTTCATGCTTCTAGGAGCACGAAGCCAAAAAAACCAGCCTGAAGATGACAAATGAGACTTCGTCGAAACGTCGCCAAGACACTTCCAATTTGACGCGGGAGAAAACCCGAATAACCAAAGACACACACACATATATATATATGATGAAAATTGCATTGTTGACAAGCGATAAACACCAGATGGCATTTCTAGAGGGATAGATAGATCGAAATCTAAATATTAATTGCTGTTTGCTGCTATTTTAAAATACTTGTCAAAAAACAACAGCTCTCTTTCTGCTACATGCCATTCACTCCTTCATATGGGATACATAACCTATATCAGCAAACAGGAGTTACACAAGGGGTTTTCAGGATAAACCTATCGTTTGTTAGCACTATATAATGCACAAATCAGGAAAAGCCAGCGAGCTACTCTCTAGGCATTAGTGCAGTCCTAAGAACTCCTTTAATAGCTCACAGGTTTTCTTGTGGATGACCTCACGAAGTTTCCGAATGCGTCGGACACTTGAGGCCCCAACAAAACTATCCGGCTGTAAAACAGCCATTCCGTTGTAGACCTCACCCATGATGATGAGCTGGCCTTCCGTTGCCGTAATGTTGGGGCAGGGACAGCTCCAGTTCATGTTTAACAAGGTGATCTCTAAAGGCTCCCTTCCCAGGAACTGAAGCCCCATTTTATCATCCTTCAGAATCTCCTCCACCGTCACCAGGGCATGGCCAGACTCTTGGTCCTCTGTCAGCTCCATGACACGACCAAGAATCACAAAATCGCTCTTGCAGAAGCTGGTCACCAGCTTTTGCCGGGGTTTGCAAGCCTTGCAAACTTTACAGAGCCTATCCAGAGGGAAAGGACACAATTCTTCACAGGCCTCTCGGCTTTCAAAATTATTCTCGTTGCCTCCGCAACCTCCATAAATGAAAGACTGGCATTGTTTCGTCAAGCTGTTGTATGCCCACCGGGGCTCATAGGCTTTGCAGTGGCCTTGCAGGGCTGGCAAACTGCAGATGTTGATGGGGCCATTCATGCATGTCAACATACAGCTCTCGTAGGTCTCAAAATGATTGAGATTGCTATTACAGTTCCCATAAATGAAAGTAAAGCAGTTGTTTTTCTTTGCATCGTAATACCATCTGGTTTGCTCTTCTCCACAGTCTTCACTGTCAGGTTGCTTCAGGCACTCGTTGGTTGGGAAGTGAGTTTTATTCTGCACTGTTTCTGGAGAAGTAGCTTCTCCCTGGAGGACCGACAGTGGGAAATCTACCCTTAAAGAACCACCAAGGTTTTTGGCTGTGCAGGTGTAAATTCCTGCATCTTGTAGTTGTGTGTTATAGATTACCAGCTGGGCAATATTAGTGACAACGATATTTCCTTGGACATGGTTAGGCCTCATAATTATTTTCTCTTTATTCTCAGTCTCCTTCTCCCAAGTGATTTCTGGTTTAGGTCGACTAGTGACATCACAATGAAAGCTTACAGTCTCTCCGACGTAGACAGACTGATGAGTTGGGTTGTTGACTAAAACAGGTGCGAGGATGTCTGTGACGGTAGTCTCCAAGTAAGCGGTTGTGGGTGGAGCAGTAGTCTCTGCTGGGACAGGGCTGGTGTTTGGCCAGGTGAGATGATAGCGACAAGTCACTACATTGAGGGTGATGCCTTTGGTACACGCTTCTGCGTCCATGTAACACTTGTTGTAATAGGTGAGCCCATCAGATGCACATGTGAAACTTGGCTCCTTTTCACACCTGTCTTTGCATTTGCAGACTGGCTGCCCATCCCAGATATCACATTCTGAACCTTGCTGGATGCACATGAATCGGTCACACGTGGCTTCTTTGGGCATCCCAACCGGTCCTTTCTTCCCTCTCACATCCATGTACCGGGCTGCAACACAACTTCGTGTTCCACAAACGTTAGGGCAACATTTCTCAAAAGTCTCACACTCCTAAGGCAAAAGAAAACAAATGTGATAAAGTGTTTGTGGATAAATAAGGATTCTCATCAAGTCAGGAACTCCGTTAATGTCAGAGATCTCACTTTTGTGAAAGATAAGCATCACCCTACTTTTGCCGGTATGGCCATGATATTTGAAAGGGCAACTTTTATTTCATAATATCAGATAGTCAAGAATGGCAATGTATGTGCTTTAGCATGGTTTGTTAAAATTCCCCAAGGAATGTCTGGAACAGACAGCCTGGGCTATTTGATCTTTGGAGCTAGAACATCACAAATCAAAGTGGATTTATCAGTGACCCAGGAAGAACTATTCCAGTATTTCTCAACATTGCAATTTTAAGATGTCTGGATCTCAACTCCCAGAATTCCCCATACTGGCTGGGTATTAAAGTCCAGATACATAAAGTTGCTAAAGTTGAGAAACACTGTTCTAGCTTAGCGACAGAAGGCAGTACAGGAACTTCAATGTTTGAAGAGGTAGAAGGCTGGCAGGGATGGTTATGGCTCTTTCTTCTTTATAAAAATCTCCATCCACCCTAGAGCTAACAGGAAGCAATACCATCATGACATTTGCTGTTCCCATAACTCATCTCTATCCTTCTTTCTGTTGTCTCCATTCCCAGCCACCACCAGTCACAGCAATCACCTGACTTCCCTCCAAGACCATGGGTGTCAAAGACAGATTTATACCCCCATGAGGCCTCCCGTAGATAGTGCCAGATTAAGGTGACAAATGCACATTTAATTTTGCTGTAGCCGAGGTCAGCTCAAGCCTGCCCTCCTGCTGGATTGCAGAAGAGATGAAAGCAACACTATGAGGGATGTAGCAGAGAAAGGGACAATCAGGGCAACATGGGTTGTGTGGATGGAGAAAGCTCCTATGTGCAATTTACACTGATTTTTTTTTCTAATGGGTGCAAGAAAAACTACAAAAATTGTTAAAACCTTCTTTGCTTACATCGCCCTGATCATTAAAGCTAGATGAAATGCAATTACATTGAAATGGCAAATGGAAATAATTGATGACCATGTTGTCTGTTCTTTAGTCCTGCACACAATTTCTTGTAATGTTGATTTGATATTTAAGAGTTGGCTGGTGGCTGCATTCTAGAACAAGCAGAGAAACATCTGAATTCTTACTTGGAAGGCAAAGGGAGATACTATGGTCATGAATAATGTTCTGTATTTGCGATAAATTGGTCGAGTAACTTCACTAAAATTTATATATGCACCCATACATACTTACTGAAGAATAAATGCCATTGAAATTGGTGGAACTTGTTTCTGAGAAATAGAAATAGAACTGTCCTACATGTTTTGTTTACCTTGGCTATAGAACAAAGAAGCTGAGAAAAACAATTCATAGGCAGCCCCAAAAGCACTTTCTGTTCTCTTAAAAAATATATATATATAACTAGCTTATGAGTAAACTTTAGAGTATTATTAATAATTTCTTTTTTAATTTTTATTAGTTTTAGTATGGTTTAACAATATTGATTTGCTTATATTATTATGTTTATTTTTAATTTGTTTATATTTATGTTATAAGGGAGTTAAAGTGCGTAATGGACTTGGTTACTTGTATAGTTGGGTAATTTTTTTTTAGAGTTTGATTGTTTATTTGTAACCCTGTATTCAGCTCTGGGAAGTGGGGGAGGGGGGAGGGGTGGGTGGGTCTTGGGATGTATATTGTATAAAACTTTTCAATAATAATAAAAAAGTACAACAAAGACTAAAATACCAGCACAGACATCAGGTAAAAAACACAGTTATGCCACATGTATAATGACATAATCACACAAATGATGTGGTTTGCCACAAGTGATCTAATGTGTGTTATTTGTGCAATGACATCATGACTCATATGATGTCTATTGCCGCGCTCTCCCCGACTTGTCACTTTGTGGGTGCCATGAATATTAGTATCCCTATTGTCCAGATAAATACATCCTTTACAATATATCATATTTTAAACATTGTATCTCAAAAATGTAGCTGATAACATAAGAATCCCTCTTATCTTCCAGGGAGAACTCAATTAATATTTGAAAAATTACTTGTTAGCTGATAACACGTTTCCTTTTGTTAAGTCTATAACACAGATTTGTAATTATTTTCAAGTATATAGTATCTCTTCCATTCAAGGCTACAACATTCCAAATGACATCTACAAATAAGTAGCTACAGGTAGTCCTCGACTTATAACAGTTCGTTTAGTGACTGTTCAAAGCACTGAAAAAAGTGACTTATGACTGTTTCTCACAGTTACGACCTTTACAGCATCCCCACAATCATGTGATCAAAATTAAAATGCTCGGCAACTGGTGCGTCTTTATGACTGTTGCTGTGTCCCCGGGTCATGCCTATAAAACCTGGATCATTTTATCTGCTGCTCTTGCAACATTTGTTATTATTGAAATGCTTTTTATTTCATTTTCTAGAAACCTTAGCAATCTTGTCCATTGGTGGAGGTTTGCCTACAAAAATTAAACTTTTTAAACTTTCTCACAAGTAAAGTTAATAGGGGAAGGCAGATTCACTCAACAACCAGTTTACTAACTTACCAACTGTAGTGATTCACTTAACAATGGGGACAAGAAAGGTCAAAAAATGGGGCAAAAACTCACTTAACAAATGCCTTGCTTAACAACAGAAATTTTGAGCTCAGTTGTGGTCATATGTTGAAGACTACCTGTATTGACATCTTCCCTTCAGAAGCCTGCCCTCTTCCTTCAACATTGCAGAATTACCTAATAGTCATCATCAAGACGAAGACACTTTCCAGAGTCTGGACTAGTTTGTCCTCCTATGTGATGCTGATTCAAAATATGGCAGAATTTAGAACAGGGGTAGGCAACCTTGGCTCTTTTATGACTCGTGGTGGCTCAGGAATTCTGGGAGTTGAAGTCCACGAGTCATAAAAGAGCCAAGGTTGCCTACCCCTGGTTTAGAACAATCACGTTCATCAGTCCTGTAGAGGCTTCCTCTGAAGAAACTTGAGATGAGTGAAAATTTTATGGGATTCATTTTTATAGGAACTGATGAAAATTTTGCAAATGTATTCAGTGTGGGAGGGCAAGACTTAGGTTCTAAACCGTCCAATTGTAGGGGGAAAAAACAAACCAGAATATTGAGATATAGCCATCCCTCCATGTAACCTTACAACAACAATAGGGTTAGTTCTAGGAAAGTGTACATACTGTGGAATTGCAAAATGAGTGTTTGTTAAAAAAAATCAGGAGGCAAAGACGGGGGGGGGGAAAGGGTCAGGGAAAAAACATCTCAGTATTGATTGAGAAGATCCAAACAGTCAAAAAGTCCTTTTGGATCACTGGAAAACTGATTCAGGAATGAATGTTCAGACAGTGGTTCATAAGTTTCTGACGTCCAGAATACTTCTGAAGCCACCTTGACTTTGGGGGGAGGGGAATCAGATGGTGGTGATCAATGATGGGATTCAAATAGGTGAACAACCGATTCTCTATGTGGATGCCACTTCCGGAAGTCCATTCTGGGCCTGGGCAACAAAAAATTAGCTACCGGTTCTGCTGAAATGGTGTGAACTGGCTGAATCCCACCACTGGTGGTGATGTTCCAAAGAGCTTTTGAATAATTTTGTGTATTGTACCAACCATGATTCACCTTGGAGAAAGCAAGTCACACACATTGCTTACATCTTTACAGCTTCTTCAACATGCTCAATGCTTTTGAAGCATATCCAGACACACCCCCCCCCAAAATCAATCATCAGTTTGAATGATCTACAGAATCTAAATGTGAGCCACGTTGCATAAAAAGTTTTATTAAGAAATCCAATTCAAGCTACTCTTTAAACCATAAATAGTTTGGGATCTCACTGTCTGAATGAATATTAACTTCCTTATTGTAGGTAGTTCCTGACTTACAAGAGTTAATTTAGTGACCGTTCGAAGTTATAAAAGTGACATGACCATTTTTCACACTTAAGACTGTTGCTGCAACCCTGTGGTCACATCATCAACATTCAGACTCTTGGCGTAAAGGAGGGGAGAAGGAAGTAGGAAGGTTGGAGGAGAAGAGGAGAGGTGGGGAGAAAGGGGAGGAGAGTGGTGAAGGAAAGAGAAGAGGAGAGGAAGAAGAGGGAAGTAGGGAAGAGAAGAAAGGGAGAAAGAAGGTAGAGAAGAAGGAGTGTGGATACAGTGAAAGGGGAAATGAGCAAGCAACTCCAAAAGTCATGTGTATGTATTTATTTCATTTTATTAAAAGTATCTTATATATGAATGTAAAAAGAATGTATGTTAACATCTGATAAATATCACGGTATATGTGTGGGGGAGAGTTTGGAAAAATAAAAAAATATTAAAAAAAACATTCAGACTCTTGGCAATTGACTTATATTTTTGACGGTCGCAGTGTCCTGTCATGTGATCCCCTTTTGCGACCTTCTTACAAGCAAAGTCAATGGGGAAGCTAGATTTGCTTAACAACCATATTGCTAAGTTAACAACTGTAGTGATACACTTAACAACTGTGGCAAGAAAGGTCATAAAGTGGGGCAAGATTCACTTAACAACTGTCTCGCTTAGCAACAGAAATTTTGGGCTCAATTGTGATCCAAAGTCAAGGACTACCCGTATTTTGTCCACCCTTGGGAGGAGGAGATTCTAGTCCATGTGCCGCCACCCTCTAAAGATCAGCAGATGATCACATAGGTCTTCTCTGTATAGACCTAAACAATGGAGCAACTTCCCTCCCTTTTTTTTAACTGATTGTTTTCCTTTGATTTGGATCACAAAAGCTAAAACTTGCAATTGTGACATCTCTATCTGCGATACTCTTTTCATGTGCCATTGCTGCTTTCTATTTGCTATGTGTGCATGCCTTTTACTTAACTGAGAATGGACATCAGTCCAGTGGTGGGATTCAGCCAGTTCACACCACTTTGGCAGAACCTGTAGCTAATTTTTTGTTGCCCAGGTCCAGAATGGACTTCTGGAAGTGGCATCCACACAGAGAACCAGTTGTTCACATATTTGAATCCCACCACTGCATCTGACTAAAAGGCAGAATAGCAATGCTGAACAGTATTCAAATATCTGAATTGTTCTTCAGTTGGATGTTAAAAGAATCTGATCTCATTCTCAGGAATCTGCTAAGGCAGAGCACATGTTTCACATGTATAAAGTGCCAGGTTGAACTTTTACCTTATTCAAATAGCTTTGAAAAGACTCTGGAAGGACACACCGAACAATGCTAGAAGTCCATAAATATACAAGCCAAGATACACCAACCTTGCAATTAAAAGCTACTTCTTAGCTCCTGTTCTGGATGTTTTCTGCAGAACCCCAATTTCAGCTTGGTAGAGGAGACCAAGACACAATTTCTATCAAGTTTTCAAAATGCATCAAAAGTAATGCATGTACAAATTACATTTCATTGAAATACGTAAGACAAACCTGCATTTCTGTGCCTTTATAATAATAATAATAATGATAAAGTTGGAAGGGACCTTGGAGGTCATCTAATCCAACCCCCTGCTCAGGCAGGAAACCCTATACCATTTTGAACAAATGGCTGTCCAGTTTCTTCTTAAAAACTTCCATTGTTGGAGCATTCACCACTTCTGGAGGCAGGTTGTTCCACCGGTTAATTGTTCTAAGTTTCAGGATGTTTCTCTTTAGTTCTAGGTTGCTTCTCTCTTCGGTTATTCCCCCCCCCCCCCCGTTGCTTCTTGTCCTGCCTTCAGGCGCTTTGGAAAATAGCTTGACTCCCTCTTCTTTGTGGCAGCCCCTGAGATATTGGAACACAGCTATCATGTCCCCCCTCATCCTTCTCTTTGTTAAACTAGACATACCCAATTCCAGCAACCATTCCTTATATGTTTTAGCCTCCAGTCCCCTAATCATCTTTGTTGCTCTTCTCTGTACTATTTCTAGAGTCTCAACATCTTTTTTACATCGTGGTGACCAAAACTGGATGCAGTATTCCAAGTGTGGCCTTACCAAGGCATTGTAAAGTGGTATTAACACTTCACGTGATCTTGATTCTATCCCTCTGTTAATGCAGCCTAGCACTGTGTTGGCTTTTTTGGCAGCTGCAGCACACTGTTGGCTCATATCTAAGTGATTGTCCGAGATCCCTCTCACAGTTACTACTATTGAGCAAGGTGCCTCCTATACTATACCTGTGCATTTGGTTTTTCTTGCCTAAATGTAGAGCCTTACTTTATAGAAACCTTACTTTATAGAAAACTGGGTTTGCATTCATTTTGATACATTTTACCAAAGGTTCCAAAGTACACTTTACTCTTGGATAATATGCACTGATTTTGATGGAGCAGAATTCAGCCTTCCGCAAATTGGAACAACCCCCCTCCCCCAATATATTGAATATAATTCTCATGATATCCAGTAGGAATAATGAGAGACATAACGTCATAAAAAGTTACTTACTACTATTGATTCACCTAGCGTAGACTATACTAGAAGTCATCTGTGAAGTCTGGATGAGGACTAGAACAGTGGTTCTCAACCTGTGGGTCGGGACCCCATTTGGGGTCGAACGACCATTTCACAGGGGTCGCCAAACAAGGCTGTCCGCCATTTTTTCCCCTTTTCTTTGGCCATGCCCCTGGCACCCGGTGATGTATAAGTGGTTGGGAGTCATCACAACATGGGGAACTGTATTATGGGGTCGCGGCATTAGAAAGGTTGAGAACCACTGGACTAGAATGTAGTAGTTAATTCCTGTTTTTCTTTGATGCCGTCCAATTCTTATCTGGATTCTTGCAGACCAGAACCAGTTGCCTATTTTAGCTCAGTACTGATAAATAAACCCGATAAAAGACCTTTATGGTTTTTCTGATTCTATGTGGAGATTCCAAGGATTATACCTAGAACCATCAGTAAATTATCTCTTAGCACAGGGGTTCCCAACCGGGGGTACTTGCACCCCCCCCCGGGGGTGCGAGACCATATTCCAGGGGGTGCAAAACTTGGGTTTTCAAAATTATAGCGTATATGCATAATTCGTTGCTATTATTTCAAACTTTTGTTAAGGGGTGCGAGAATATATCAGAAGCGTTCTCGGGGTGCGAGGTATAGAAAAGGTTGGGAGCCGCTGTCTTAGCATATCCGAAAGACATTCAGCTTTCTAAAGAAGTCTTGATGGTGCATTTATTCTGTTTCTTTATCACATAACTAAGTTTTAATAGATAGTTTGCGGTCAGCAAATTAAAAAAGAAGCTTGTAATGAACTAAAAGAAAAGTACATAGCCATAAATATTTTTATGTGTTGCTTGTAGCTAATGGAAATCTGGTTCATCGATCAAAAGATGTACTATATGATTTGAAAGGAGAAAAACAGCAGGGCCTGCAACAAGCATGGTCACCCAGGTGAATGTCTGGATGCAGCCTTTGCTTTATGCACTGCTTTATTGTTTATTTTTCAGTATCTCAACTAACCCCTTGGGATTGCATCCAAAAATAGGCTCAACTTACTGCTTGACAGCTTGATTGTTAGTACCTAAATGGTAACGGCCCAGCTCAGCAGATATAAGGCTTATTGAGTCACAACTAAATCTAGATCTTCCCTGCTCATAAAAGGAAATGTCTTTATGGAACACCCCTTGATTTCAGTGTACTGGAAAATACTCAGGAGCTTCCTCACCTAGCCTAACTTTGTGGAAAGCTTGTGGCATCTCCCTAGCTTGTCTGGCTGGGTATAACTTGACTCCTCCCTTCCTCCCCCATTCTGCCATCTGCTTTGTGGCTTTTCTGTTAATATCTGATCATGGAGTCATTTTGCAAAACGTGGTTTCAGCTGACATAAGTGATGTGTATCTAGCATCAGTTGGGAAAGCGGTGGGTGGTAGCCAAGGCAAGTCAACCAAGCAGAGAGTCACATGTTCGTTCTTACTTTGTCCAGCTGGTGCACTGTCTACTTAAACAATGCCCTTCATCAGAAGAACAAAACAAAACAAATGAGTAAAAGAAACCACAACTTGCTTTTCTGCAAGAGACTTTTGCATTAATAGGCTGAGAATTTGATCCTGGGTTCCACTGGGGTGAGATGTTGCCGCTCTCATTATCCTTTAGAATCTGACCTTCCAGACATGCAGAGGACATGACATGACACTGTAATGCTTGATTTAGAATTTTTAGAATTCGGTGTTTTTTTCCCACATCAGTGCCTTTGAAGTCAGTGTATATACCCTGAAGTTTCAACAATCTTCTTTTCTTCCTGGAAAGGGAACTCAGTTCTGTGTTTTCTTGGTTCATCAATCCTCCTTAATTAATTAGAACGCATCCTTGGTCATTCATTTGTAAGGCGGCCCCCTTTGGATCTGTGCCTTCCTTACCCATTGCCATATAGTTATAGTTCAGTGTTTCTCAACCTTGACAATTTTAAGGCATGTGGACTTCAACTCCCAGAATTCCACAGCAGCAGTGCTGGCTGTGGAATTCTGAGAGTTGAAGTCCACATGCCTTAAAATTGTCAAGGTTGAGAAACACTGTAGCTGATCACACTGCATCGATATTTGTTTGCCACTTGCCTACCAAGTAGGCTGTGCCTACTTTTAGCACTGAATCAGCCCTACACATCAGGAGTGGCATCAAGAGTCTTCTCCAAGAGCTATTCGCCAATGAGAGCAAACTCTATTATTCTGGGCTGGTCCAGGAGGCAGAGAGACCACAAAGGAGTATGGAGAGGTGAAGCTGAGTTAGCAAAGCCAACTTCTCAAGAAGCAGTATTTCACCTCCCATCTTAAGTACATTTGCCTCTGGAATCGTCATTCAACACACATGCCAAGTTGTCATTTTTATACCGGTGCTGGATTTTGAAATAGGTGTGGATGAGGTCCTTTCCCTGGGAGACAATGCACACAGCTGTCTCCTGGAAGAAAACCCATACATCTCAAAGCAGTAAACACTGATTGACTGGCTGTTTCAAGAGCTCTGAGGCAGCAGGGGCTGGAGGGGGGGGGGGCATCTTGGAAGATTGAGGCAATTAAAATGGGCCCAGAGGGGAAGCTCTGCAGCACAGCGAGACCGTCATGCAAAGCCCCATGCTAAGAACTTCACTTGGCACTGCCTGGTTTTTCTCCCTTGATCATCCTGCCCTTGCAGTGATTAAAGCAGACCTTTCGTGATGTTGCTCCAGATGAAATTCAAAGGACTGATTCATGCATGAGGTTGCAACCATAGCAAGCTGGTGACCCCTGCCTTGGTCCCAGCAGGAGCATCGGATCGGGGTGTGAGCTACAAGATCAGAAGTCCTTGCAGGTTTCAAATCCTTCTCCCTTCTTCCTAGCAAGTTCTACTTTGCTCCTTACATCTTTTTTCTCCTACTGACTATTTTCCCAGAAAAACACCCACCCAGCCTCTTCTTGCTACAATAAACAGAGGCAACCGCCCAGCACAAGCAGTCAGTATCTATTTATAAGTGACTTTCAGCATTAAGAAGAGAAAAGAGAAAGGGCATCACTCACCAGGTCGGCATCACACTCTCTCCCACAGGTACTCTGTGCGTCAACCCAGAGATTGGGATTCATATCATTTGGACATATCCCGGCGTGAGAATATCGGATTGGAGGCAAAGCTGCACTTTTGAGCAGGAGCTGCAGAAGTAACACGATAAGGCGGTCCCAGGACAACATCCATATCCATATCCATCGCATGAATAGTTTGAAAAAGGACATCTTGGGTTAGCTCCGGAGAAAATACTGACAAATTGACTCAGGTCTGGGTGTGGCTGTGCTTGACTTGGAAAAAAAAAAAAAGAGCTGAAACAAAGGAAGCAACTACACCTGTTTTCTCTGTGTCCTTTCTACCTTGCTCAGTGGGTGCAATCTGATCTGGACCTTGTTGGATTCAAAGTCTTGGGAAGTCGCCCCCTTATTTTAAGCGAAAGGCTCTTAGTCCAAGTCAGAGTTAGCTGTATTTATACCCTGCTGCTCTACAACAACTTGGAAAAAAAGTAAACTCTATTTCTGTGACAGGCACACGCTTCTTATGTCCTGGTGGCAGTCGTACAGATTTGTTACAAGGAGAGGGAAGGAAAAAAAAAAAAAAAGCTGGAGAGATTTTTAAAGGCTGGAACAGCTACGGTGGGACCCCTGCATGTTTCTGAATGGAAGGAGGCCTTCTTAACCCCTTTAGGCCTAAAGTACTTCCCTATGCAAGAATGGCATTTACTTCTGAAAGACTGCTTGTCTAGATAATATGAACCTACAGTCCGAGGGATTTCCCTATGCCAAGGGAATATATACAATCGTTCATTTTAAAAGGGGCAGCTTAGCGGGATTGAAGCAATTAAAGCTGGGGGGAAAAATAACTTTAATAGAAATAAAAGAAACGTGGAGGGAGAGGAAGAGAAATAACAAGTTTTAAATGGAGATCGGGAGGACAGCATGTCTTTACAAACGACCCCCCCCCCACACACACCACAAGTCTCTCATCTGCTTTATTTGTCTTTTTTCCCCCCCAAGTTTCTTTTTTGCTGCACTCCAACCCCACCATGGGAAATTTAAAAAAAATTCCTTCACAGTTCATGAACATGAGACCCCTATTGTACGACTTTTTGCTGACCTCTTTAAGGAAAAAAAAAAAATAGGAACAGTTTAACTCTATGGAAACCTGCATAAAGGAATGTACTGCTTGTTTGGTGCAGAGGAGGGGGAGAAAGGGGAAAACACCACTGACTTCCAGCCAGGGTAATCATGACAGGAAGAGTTTCTGAGACCTATCAAGAAGAAAAAAAAAACCCTTTTCAAGGACCAGAGGGAGAAGGCCTGGAAGATGGGAGGAAAAGGCTGATGGTGAACATCTGGAAGGCAGGGAAAGCAATGGCTCCCCTCCACGCTTGAGGTACCGCTCTGTCTCTGTGTCTGCTATGAAAAGCATGTGCTGGCTGGGATCCAAAGAAGACTTTAGGTGAGATGGAGAGCTAGCGCATGCCCGGAGGGTCTTTTGCTTTGAAGTAATCGACCCTGTTGGAACTGCACCCTTCAGAAATTGCTTCTGAATCCACTCTGAGAACAGAAGGCACACGTGCGCACGTGCATGCAAGGATGTGCATGACCTTAGACATGTGGCTGATGTGGAGAAGCAGCAGCAGCAGCAGCCACTGCATGCACAGCAGAATGAGCAGCACCTCTCTTAATCTGAGCAATGCTAGAGGTTCCCCTCTGGGTAGACTTTCCAGAATGGCCAGATTGCAGGCATTGGTGGCACATGCTTGATCCTTGGTTGAGCTTTTCCTTCTGTTTCCCTCTCTGACTTGAGTTCAAAGGCTTGACAGAATGAGAGCCTTCTAAAATAAATTTAAGTTCTGGAGTCTTATGTTTCACATATCCTGCAAACTGCAGTGGTTCTGTAACTTCTAGGGACCAATGAAATGTGTGAGGGAAAAAAAGTACTGCATTCCTGCCTCACTGCAATGGTTAAAATGATGTTTTCCTCCCTGTGTCACACCCAGATACTATTGTTGTTTCATCCTTAAAACTCAATCACTGGTAACAGGACCTGGCTGATTATTTTACTTTTCAATCAACTATGATAGAAGAGTGCTAAAAGTGGTAAATCGCACATATTTTCTTTCTGGTGGCTCTGCAAAGACATGGGGTATTCTTATTTTGGAGCATCATATTATGGGACAGCTACCCGAAGTCTGCCTGCTAATGCAAGCAGTATCATAAGTTCTGTATCTCAGACTAATGCCAGTTTACTGCATGGGTTCAGCTAACATGTGGCATTCTGCACAACACTGTTTTCATTTTGTTTTGAAACCAATCCACATCACTCCGCTACAATGGAAGCAGAGCAAGAGTTCACTTGTACCTGCAAGATGGGAGGCACTGATGGGAACAGGAGTAAACTACTAGAAAAACTGGTTGCCTACGACATCTAGAACCTTTCCTGACTGCTACTTTGAAGGTCTCTCCACCCATTCTTGAGGTGGAAGGAAACTATACCAGCAGTTGCTATTGGCTCTCTTTATCTTTCTTCCACCTCTATTCCTGCAGTCATCTTGCTTTCCCCAAAGTAAAGTATGGATGAACCAGATAAAAAGACCTGGAAAAAAGACTAAATAAATTTAATAAGTAAGCAAGCAAGCAAGCAAATAAATAAATATATGTGTGTACCCACTTTGTGCTCTTCTTGGATTATCTCTACACGAATGTATTTGAAATTAGAACAACCTTAATTATATTTATACAATGTATACAAAATTCCTCAAGTGAGGAAAAACCCAATAAGGGATGCAATAAATAAATAAAATTAAGATTGCTCTAATTTCAAATACATTAAGAGTTTGGGGCATATATCTTCTCTGTCGAATAGGATGGTGGACAAAATTAATAGGTCCATTGGGGGATGTTTGAAACTTTGGAAGGACTCTATTTTAATCAAGGGAGAAGAAAGCTGAGAAGAGAATGGGCAATCTTTTTTCCCCCTTGTATCAGTCAGTCTCTAAGTTGGTGACTGCCCTTTCACCAAATCCAAGTCCAAACCTCACCCACCAGGGCTTGATACTCTTTCTACTTCTATTCGACATCTACATGAAACTGTTGGGTGAGATCATCCATCACCACGAACTGAGATATCATCAATCAGCTGATGATACTCATCTGTAAATCTCCAGTTGGTGCAAAATGCAGCAGCCTGCATGGTTTTGTGCAGACCTAGGTGTGCACATGTATCACCTCTCCTGCTGGTTGCCGATTTGCTTCTGGGTGCAATTCAAGGTGTTGGTTGTCACCTTTAAAGCCTTCATGGCTTGGGACCAGGTTATCTGAGGGATCGTCTCTTGCTGATCACATCCACCTGACCCACTAGATCAGGGATGCTAGGAATGTTGCAGGTCCCATCCCCTAAGGAGGTACATCTGGTGGGACCCTGAAGAAGGGCCTTCTCTGTGGTGGCTCCCTCCCTCTGGAATATCATCTCTCTGGAAATTAGACTGGTCCTCACTGTGACATTCGTTCGGAAGACCCTGAAGATGTGGTTCTGCTGGGGGGCCTGGGGAACCCAGAGTGGGATGGAGCCAATTAAATGGCTAGTACAAATGTGTGTTGTTGCCGGAGTAGTGGGATGATGGGGGTTATTATTTTATTATTATTATTTTATTATTATTTTTTATTATTTTCATTTCTTTTATATTGCACTGTATTTTTGTTTCCTGTAAGCCACCTTGAGTCACCATGAGCGAGAAGGCAGCAATATAAATTTTCCAAATAAAATAAAAACCTGGAGCTCTAACAATGCTTCAAAGAAGATGTTCAAACTTTGATACTGGGATTTTCATATCATGTGCATCATGCTCCTTCTGGACTGTCCTGTCATATCCTGGCAATTCTGACAAGTGGTTGTTTGAAAAGATGAAACCTTGGTTGGCTGCATTTGTCTTCTTCCTATGCAAATTTGGGAGAAAACAACTATCAAATAAGATAGCAAGATCTGGCCCATAGAATCGCCAAGAGTCGGACATGGCTGAATTGGTAACATCATCATATCATCATCATCATCATCCTTAGGAGGACTTGGCATGCAGTACACTTATCTTTCTAGCTACGCTTTTTAACCCCCTATATAAACTATTAGGCTTTCTGGGGTCCCAATTTATCATCCGTAACAAACCGTTACTTTGGGACAGAAGCCAACTTTCCCCCTCCCCAGAATGCCTTACCTCATGTTGAAGTAAAGCCCACTTTTTCTTTTTTGCCCATCTAAACAGGTATGCCAAAACCATAAAGACAAGGCTGTAAAAAAAGCAACCACATCACTGAACCAGAACTCTAGAAACCAGTAACGCCAGATGAGAAACCATATATTCAAGAATAAATGCATCCTCCAGAGAGAGAAAAAACATTCTTCCATGCAGGGCAGAATTCCATGTGAAGAATTCTTTCTTCCTTTCTGGGAAACTACAGCTGCTTCTTGCTTTCCAGCAGGGTGGATGGAGTCCGCCCTCTGATGCCAGGTCAAAGAGTGGAAACCTGGCTTCCTTTCTTAAAAACTGGCCAGTGGACCTAGGATTAGGTTCATTCCTTACATTATACGGTAGTTTGGGATTTCCAGGCCAATGTGCCTTCTCAACCATTTAGGATCCGTGTTCCTTAATGCCTGCACGGAGAACGCTTTTAAAAAAAAACTCTTGGTAACTATGAAAAAGCATCTGTCTTTGCAGAAGGATATGAGTAGCAAGCTATTGAACACAAGGTGTGCCTTCAAAAAGAGCCATGGGCTCTTTTTTTTTTTTTTACCACAGTCGGACTAATTTCCTTGAACATATTACACAACTATAACAAGTATGGGAAAATAGCATTTTACAATTAAAACCGGTTCATTTCCTGTTTCTCCCCCAATGTGCATATCATGCACAGAAACGTACACTCACAGCCATTTACAATTCTTGTATGTTTAGGCTTAAAACAGATTGAGGTTTAGTGTGGGCTGTGTATTGTAAATGGAGACTCTGTGGAGAAGGGACTGGAAGGCTTTGCAATCCTCCCATTCACCTTGGTCCAGGCACAGGGGTAGGCAACCTTGGCCCTTTTATGACTGGTGGACTCTGTGAGTTGAAGTCCACGAGTCATAAAAGAGCCAAGGTTGCCTACCCCTGGTCCAGGGACACAAACAGGTTACAGAGGTGGGCAGAGAAGAGTGGTAGAAAACATGCAGCAATTCAGATTAATGTCAGATGAGTTCACTTTATCATTCAAGTGGTTCAACTGCCTTAAAACATTTTGCTTAAGACCAATGGGCTTGTTTACCTATAGCGACATATGACTTCAAGCTTTGCAATGGATTTTGGTATACAGAATCTCAACAAAGAAGTACATCAATTTGTACTGATGTACTTCCTTCTTTTAGTTCAGGGAACAAATAAGTTGGGAGTGAAAGAAGGCATTTGTATTGTTCACTAAATGTTGACAAGTTATAAACCATGTGCTTTTCAGTTATTTAAAGAACTCTTGGAAATTGGCTGAATAGTCTTATGAACTTTATAAAGAATAGCACATTGAGAGTTGGTTCTTGATGTATTTTTAAAAAGACTGTAAATGCTTAAGATGCCCTTGAAATTGCCAAGAGTCTTTTGCATATTGTTCACTTATCCAATATTCAGCATCTCAAAATGGCATTTAGAACGTATCTTAATGTATATTAAATGTCATTGAAAATATTAATTGCTTAAATTTATAAACAGATAATTACCAGAATTTCTAATCCCTAAAAACAGTTTTGCCTTTCTTAGATACAATGCACAAGCTTTTATGCCAGGACATTTCTGACAAGCACCAGAGAAATCCGAAGATCTAGGAAGTTCAAATTGTATAAAGATTTATTGCAAGCTCGAGAATGAGAATCTGAACTACTAAAGGCCTAAGCAATTTGGCGATAAATAAGAGTCAAAGAAATTCAAGGTAGGCTAGACTTAGATCTCTTGAGGGCATGCAGGGACTCATGACTCATGCATTTGACCCCTCACCTGGGCTCAGCCTGGTGTTCTTCTACAATTTCCTAGAAAAGCAATTTTTCTTCTCTCCCCATGCAAAGTGACATGAACTCTACATACAGAGAATGCTTTCCATGCTAGTGAGAATTTGATTTGTACCTCGTGTTTCAGTCATAGTTAACTACAATGCTTAGCTATAAACTCTGATTGCAAATCAAAACACCCATTCAAACTCAAGGCAGCCTACAGCAAAAATAAAATAAACTATAATAACATATGGATGGTAAACCCAGCAATAGAATTTGGAACATTCGTGAGAAAAACACAAAGCAATTTAAAGGTGAAAGCAACTAGCTTATGGTTCAGCTGGTATATAAATCCAGCTTCTGTGTGCACAGATGTGCCTGCTTGTTCCATAAGCACAAGTCTATGTAATATGAAACTGAAATTAGAAGAGCAGCATATGGACCCTTCTCCTGTGTTACAAATATTTAGTGTACTGCTGAAAAATTGGAATTAAAGGTTAATTTGGATTTTAATAGTGTAGGCCTGAGGGTTTCCATGTTGATGCACATACACCCAAATTCTAGAACTCTGTCATATTCTGTCGTAATACAGTTATACTTTATTTCAGTGGTGGGATTCAAATATGTGAACAATCAGTTCTCTGTGTGGATGCTGCTTCTGGAAGTCCCTTCTGGGCCTGGACAACAAAAAATTAGCTACCAGTTCTGCCAAAGTGGTGCAAACTGGCTGAATCCCACCACTGCTTATCTCAGTTGCAAACTG